AAAGGAATGCTCTTCTGATATAACTGCTAGAAATATGCATGAAGTAGCAAACTATTGTATTATAGATGCGTTACGTTGCCAAGAACTTGTAGTCAAACGCAATGTAATTAACGATTATAGAGAAGTTGCTTCTATAGCTCATGTATCTTTGTTCGACTCTCACTATCGTGCAAACGGAATGAAGGTACGAAATCTTCTGGGAGCTTATGCTTTTAAACATGATATGGTATTTAGCACAAGAGTATGTAAAAATATTGAAAAAGGAAAATACCCTGGCGCATACGTATTTTCACCTAAAAAAGAGATTGAAATGAAAAGACCTGTAACAGGATTAGATTTTGCTTCGTTATATCCAAGTCTCATTATGGCCTACAATCTCTCTCCAGAAAAAATTATACTAAATGAAGGAGAGGCCGATATTGCACAAAAAAATGGAAACAACTTGCATAAGATTGAGTTCTTATTTAATGATCGCACCCTTCACGCCTGGTCTGTTCAGCATGATAATTGCCCTGAGAAAAAAGGATTATATCCAATAGTTTTAGAGGACCTGTTTAATAAACGAGTGAAACTCAAAGCAAAGTTCGCTTTATTGCGTAAAGAAAAGGAGCGCCTTGAAAAACTTATAAGTACCATAGAAGAGAAGGGAAAAATAGTTTCAGACACTTTAAAATCGAAATATGCATCTTTATGTTTTGATTACAACTGTTTAAATTCCAAGCAGTTCGCTCTGAAGGTATACATGAATACTTTCTATGGTGAGGCTGGAAATAGTAAATCTCCATTCTTTCTTCGTGAGTTAGCTGGAGGAATCACTTCGGCAGGACAATATAACATTAATCTTGTCGCAGATTATGTAACTAAGAAAAGTTTTGGGATAAAATATGGTGATACCGATTCTTTATATCTCACTTGTCCAGATGAGTACTACAAAAAATGCGATGAAGCTTTTACCAGAGGAGAACTCTCTAAGGAAGCATACTGGACTGAAATGGTTAAAATTACTATGAAGGTAATAGATAATTTTCGCAATAAAGTTAATGCCTTTCTTAAGGTAAAAAATGGTACCTCCTATCTAAAAATGGCTTATGAAGAAGTATTGTTCTCTGTATGTTTTACTGGTAAAAAGAAATACTTCGGAGTTGCGTATGAGGAAATAGTAAATTTCAAGCCAAAAAAGCTGTTCACTAAAGGTATCAATACTGTAAAGCAAGGTCAGACAGAGCTTTTCAAATTTGTTGGAGAGAAAATTATGAGAGAAGTGATGGATATCAATAATACACGCACGATCCATCAAATCGTCAAAAATACTCTTAGAGAAGCAAAATATAAGCAATGGGATTTTGGTCAATTTATTGCGATGGCTATATGGAAACCAAAAGTAAAAAACCAATGCATCCAACGTTTTATAGCTCGAATAAAAGAAAAAAGTTTGAGTATCCCAGACCCTGGTGAGCGATTTAGTTATGTAGTAGTAAAAGGTGATCCCCTTTATAATGAAAATGGTAAAAAACAACCGCGAAGGGTTGCAGACTACATGGAATTTCCAGATATTGCAAAAGAACTCAATACAGAAATAGATATTAGCCACTATTTGGAACAAACTGTGGGATTATGCGCCCGCTTTATTAACGATGATGAAAGATACCAACCACCTTCTTCACATAAAATTATGCAACTCAAAGATTCGGATGAGAAAGAAAAGCAGATTGACGCATATTCTCAAAAAAAAGCTAAAAAATGGCTTACGAAATATATCAAAGCCTTGAATTGATTAGCTGTGCTATTCTATATTGTTAAGTATCGAATATATTCCCCAATATTAGCAATACTTAAACATTATTAATAATATTTTTTCATACATAAATAATACCCAAGTTCAAATAGATAGTTTCAGTTATCCGATCCACATATCCCATAACAGATTACCTTTTCTCTCAAATCCCTATATGCGTCTCAATATAATAAACCACATAACCGCGATAATCAACAAAATAAGAAAAATATATGCTGATAGTGGTGACATCAAAGTGCTTGCCATAGCAGCAAGAGGCAAAGCCTCGGGACCAGGCCTCATCTGAGAATTCGATTCAATTAAAGCGGACATATTATTCTCACTAATTTTGCTAATGCTAGTTTCATTACTTACCTTGGAGTTGGTCTCGGTATCATTTTTTGATAGTTTGGTAATCTCATCATTAGTATATGTCAATATATTACCATCGGTTTTTTCGGTTTGATCCATATTTTTTCTACATATAAAATATTTACTGAGATCGGTACTACCCAAAGATATATTATCAGACTTAGTAATATTTTTTTCATCATCCCCACCAACTATGGGTTTCGATATAGTCTCTGATTTCAGACACTCAAGCTCATTGACCTTCGATGAGACATAGTCTTGAGGCTTCGCCTCTTCCAATTTGCTCTTTATATTTTCTAATTCAGCTATTTTGGATTTGAGGGACGCAATCTCAGTTTCTTTTTTCGATGAGTCGCTTTGAATCGAAATCACATCTTTCTGGGCTGAAGATAACTTACCTTCCAATATCTTGATCATAGACTCGAGTGATTTGATTTTCTTGGATTTTATATCATTCTCAGCTTTGGACTTTGCAAGAGAAATGTCTTTATTAGCGCTTTCAATCTGTAAACGCCTAGCTTCATCAATGAGTTCGAGATCATGAGTGCGTAATTTCTGGATCTCGGTATTAACCTCTCCTAGTTTTTTACTCCACTTCTTTCTATCCCGATCCCATCGTCCTCTCTCCCGATTGATTTTTTTTTCTTGTTTTTCATACTTATCCCGCAATTTAGCATTGTATGAAACTATCTCAGAAGAATCTTGGAGGGCATTATATAATTCTTTTTTAAGGTCTATTACATTGGCCATATTAAATAAAGAGAAATATTATAAAAAATAGCAAAATATGAAACACATATATACTTATCGATAATGCTATCAAAGAAATTACGCTCCAATATAATTCAACAATAATAGATAATTACCGATTTTTTTAGAAAATTATTGAATATTAAGTATGTAATTATCTACGATTACCGATCATTTTTTAACATAAGAGAAATAGGAGTATTTTAGTATTTTCAATAATTTTCGATAATTTTTTATAATTATAAAAAGGATGAAACACATAACTGTAGAGTATTATTGTGCTGGTACTCCTTATTTATCACCAGAAGCTATTGAGGAAATCATTCAATCTCGAGGGACGGTTAAAAATGCATGCAGGGAAATGGCTTATAAATATAGTACTTCAACTCGTAGAATATATGAAATTTGGAAAAAACATGCTGAAGGCATACCTTTGCGCAAACAGCAACTAATACATAGTGTTGTTTCTTCTGAAATAATATCTGAAAATAATACTTCAGATAGAAAGTCAAAGAAAAGAAACCCAGGATCCAGTTCTAGATCTGTTTGGGTATCTGATTCAGTAAATATTCCGATAAAAAAAGTAGTTAAAATGGATGATTTACAAGCTAGGCTTGCACAAAATCGCAAAGAAAGAGAAGAAGCTAAACGTGAGATGAAAAGAGTCTTAGATTCCAACTAATCTACTTTTGTTTTTTCTAGAGTAGTTTGTAGACCCAAAGGGCCATTGCTGGGCAATAATCTACATACTATTTCAATATCAGACTCATTTCTATAGGTCCGTAGTTTTTTATTAAGCTTGATTAATTTGGTATTGGATTCGAGTACCTCATATAGCGATTTTTCTAACTCCTCATAGCTCATGCGTTTTTTTTTAAAGTCGAATCTAGGCTAAAACCCGCAGGAGCATGCCATTCCTCCAATGGATCATTATCGCTCTCATTACTATTCGCCTCTTGGGAAATTTGATCAGATACCAAAGGCTTATTGCAAAGCAATGGGACTTCGTCCCTATTATTCTGAGATGTAGTAGCGCAATTTACTTCAAGATTATTTTTTACCTTGTGCATAGTAACTGGAATAATGTGATCCTTTCCATTAAAAGGAATTTTCAACTCATCTTTACCCCAATCTATAGCACATTTATATTTCTTGAGAAGTGGGTTTGGAAATATCAATGTTGGTTTAGGGACACGTACAACTGCAAAATCTTCATTTATAGTAAAACCTAGAGGTAATATTATTGGGAAATTACGAGCAACACCGATAGATTCTGTTGGAACAGTAGCAACACCACTAAGATCATACTTTACCAATTTATCAATTTTCCAACCTACTCGTTTGACAATGTCTTCTGATATAATTGGAAGCTCAGCCCCACTATCAAGGACCATTGCTGGAATTTTTAAACATTTGATTTTAACTGGTATAGTTGCAAGGCTTGTGGTAGGTTCCTTTCTTCGAACAAAATCTATCTCCATAGGATCAT